ATTGAAATTGAATTGAATTAAATTGTTAGCTAAAAGTATTAATAGTATTAAAAAATTGTGCAAGATCTAAAGTAGTGGGGAAAATACTGTAGATTGCTTTAAATAATGAATACAGTTCAAATAATTAACTAAAATCCCTGGTGAAATAGCTAAAAGTAATCAATAAATGGCTGAAATGTTCAGTTTCTCTCACTGCAAGTGGTAGAAGTGTCAATGTAAACTTGTCCAAACTGACAAAAAAAAAACATTACAGAACATTTAGCTTAATTTCAAATGAACCAGTTTAGAACATGATGGGTGGTGTTAATGAGGGGGTACTTTATTTACCAGACAGCTGTTGGGTTACATGGGAGAAAAAAGTTGGGAAGCACTGTTTTAAGTGACGACTGATGCTATCATTTTTCTTATGAGGACAGTCTCTGACTTATTAAAGCAACTAAGACAGGTAAATCAACAACAGGATTCATGTCTTTTGTTTGAGAGTTGCTGTGGTTTTAAAAAAAAAAAGTTTGGGAAGCACTGGTTACCTACCTTTGCACACTGTTTATGATTATGACACCAGCCCAAGGATCCATTATTCTGAAGAGGAGAATGAGAGGGAGATAAAGAGAGAAGCACAAATGAATAAGTTGCTCTAACTGAATTAAGTGCAGACGAATACATTTTAATGCTCTAATTATATGTTACAGTGCTGTTGCAGCTCACAGGCAGCCAATGTAATTACAGTTTGTCAGGAGAACATCACAGAGCTCAAGAGTTCACACTTTGTATAGCGCAACTGAAATTTTTCTGTAGAAAGACAAATTACTGTTTTCCCCTGCAGTTTGTGGGACTTGATGTCCTTCATGGCTCCCTGCTGTGAGCCTGAGGCCATTTGCTGAAAAATAATGAGTGCAGATCCAGGATCACTGAGCAAGTCACCTGAGACAATGGATTTATTTTTTCAGTGTGACTCCAAAGGCAAACTAGTGTCTAATCAGAACTCCTGTTGTCTGATCTCTTGGATTTGTTAAGGCATTAAATAACCACGTAACTTCATAACCTAAACAGTAATAAAAAATACTGTCACCTCCCTTCATCTTAAATAGCTCCAAGGATAGCTACAGTAGATCTATATGTGCATCCTCATTTATAGTTTATATACCTTGGCCAGGATGTTTGCCCATGTTAAAGAAAAGGTAACAAACGTTACTCAAACAGGAGAAAATACTGAATACGTTACATTATTTTCACCGGACGATTAATCCACATTTGTTGTTCTAATGATTATTTCTGGCAGCCGGATGGTGTGTGGGGGATTGCGTCAAAATAAACTACAGTGTGTGTGTGTTCATGGTAATGAAGGAACATGTCACCCAGTGTGGATCACTGATGTGTTGTTAATCGTTTTTTACAACAATGGAGCTGAAATAGAAAGGAAACAAGAGTGAAAAATTATGAGTGATATTGGATTACTTTTTTTAAAGCAAAAACATTAACTGCACAACACAAACTCTAGTCTCGGATGTCCCTCCACCATGTCTTGGGATTACAGACAGTTGTGAGTGTCGGTGGTTTTCTGACACAGTTGAGAGCATGTGGCCTTTCAAACACTGACATTTGCTCTGTCAATAAATAAATAGTGCGTTATTGATGGAGAGCTGAGTTAAACTGTCTCCTCTGGGGTCAGGGATTAGTAAAGTGAAGAGTGCTCTTCTCTCTGGAGTTCCTCAAGACTAACTGAGCTGCAGCAAATCATTATACTATGCTTCAGTGGAGCTGCTCAGGCAATATAGTGTGTGACCAGGCAACAGTGGAGAAATATGTAGGGATGATTGGGCACCAATCGGAACACAGAGCAAAGAAACTAAATAGGTGAAGTAAACAAGTAAATATCCCTCAGACACGCTTCTCACTGCCTAATTTATCATGGCAGCCCAGACTCAACCAAACAAGTGCCTGAGGCAAGGCTGGGTTACCAAACAGGCCTCTGATTAATTGCAAATTTATGTGGTAATGATGATGGGAATTCATCGTAAGGCATCCTCCTCATTATGTCCTGGCTTAAAAGAACCTGTGTCAAAATTTAATAGTCTTTCCTGAAAATCATTCATCAAGTGTAGAATCAACATCAGGAATTGTGTAAAAAGTGAAGACAGAGAGCTCAAGGGAAGAGTTCAAACCCCGCCCAGTTTCTCACCTCCAGACACCTAGACAATCACTGACTGTAGTGAGCACCAATGTAAGCACGCTGTCAAAGTCCTCCAAATACTGCTGCTTCGTCCCTCTGCATCTTTGCTTAAGTTATGTTACAATTCCTTTCTGCCCCACGACTCCCTTTGTGTGTCTCTTCACACAAAAAGAGTTGCCATATTGGCACATATCAGATAACATATACACCAATACCGATATGTCTGCGATAAGCCAATATCAACCGATAATATCAGCCAGCAGATATATCAGTCAGGCTCTAGTATGATGACCTTAAAACAGCACACAATGCAAAGAGTAAAACTGAAGGTGTAACATAAATGTAGACAAAATTATCAACAGCAATTACAACACAATAAATATAAACCTTGGAATGTTCCGGGGCCTTGTCCAGTTCTGGGGTCCCAACAATACACTCATTGACTTGCACAGAAATGGTCACAACTTTGTCGGACCAAAGGAATAAAATCTAGCAGCAACAGAGGCGTATTGTTCCTGTAGACAGATGATCTCTGATGCAGAAGGAACAACTGTACATCTAGACTGACCCTATCCCATCAGTCACCTCCCAACCCATCCCACCCATGTCCATGAGGTCAATGTGAGTGTGTTTTTCAGCAGCCAATGATTTGACATCAGTGCTACACAAAACTATCACTGACTCACATCTCCTCAATGCTGGCTACTGTTAGACAAAGAATGGAGAGTGATCTATATCTGAGTTGCAGTTTTCGAATACAGTTAGTCTACTTCTTGGTTTGATTTTTAGCAAAAGAGTTTCAAGACAGCCCGACAAAGGCATTCATGATTTAGTCTGATTTATAATTTTTTTTGTGGACTGGACCATCATTCTGTGCAGTCATCATTGGTCTAAGTGAGTGTACAAGAATGCTGTCCCCATCACTCTGAATCCTGAAGCAAGGAGGGTACTCTAGATTATCTGTGTGTGTGTGTGTGTGTGTGTGTGTGTAGACATAGTTACTGACAAAGGGGGGATCTATATGAATAATATAATCAGGATAACAAGCCGTCTGCTCCAGTCCCCGTCAATCAGAAAGTTTCAAGGAATTATTTTAAACATGGGAGTGAATGAAGTTGGGATATTTTCAATTATTCAGCAGTCAAGAGCCAATTTGGGAGTCGGGGGATTTCTGTAGGTGGTTTTAGATAAATTGGGTTTAAACATTAAAAAAAATCAAATCCTATATTGAAATTCTGCAGTCAAATTATTGTCAAAAAGTTACACATTATGGATGGTTTATAGACTGATTCCAGTAGTTATATTCCATATACTTCATATATTTAAATTATATTAACTATTGTAAAGACATTAAAAAATATATATAAAGTATTTCTCCACAATGTTTGTATTTTTAAGTAAAAGTAAAAGTAGTACAATGGAAACTAATATTTAAGGCTCTGCAAGCACTGATTATTTGCCTAATTATTCTTTGTAATTCTAAACTTATTATTTGGCCCTTAAACGTGCTGATAACTACTATGACTCTGAAATAAGTCCAAATTACCATAAATTCCACGCTTAAAAACACCCTGACTTAACTGCAGACTTACTGTCTCAGAAGCACAGCGGTGGAATCCCTGTGCGCTCGGGTGCCATTGTCTTCCTTACCTGCAGCGGTGTGGAGAGCGCCGCTACGCTGTGCAAACTGAGGCACCGCGACGCACACCTCGCCCTGGAAACACTCTCCGACCAGGACTCATCACCATCAGTCTCATCGTGCTGCTTCCTGGCGAAGACGCCGCAGCTGAAGAGGAAAATAATCCACAGAGACAGGCTCGTCATGACACCGCTGCTCGTGGCCAGCATCTTCCTCCTCGTGTCCAGGAGTGGGGCTTTGAAACAAAAGAGGATGCGGTGGGGAGTAATCTGATGGAAGTCCAGTTTAACTAGAATTATATAGCCAAGGGAGGAGCTATACGATCTAGGCGTACACAGTTAGGGTCAGGATGCTGAGAGGGCTGAGAGCTGTCAGTAAACCGGACCCACAGCCTGTAAAGCACCTGATGTGATTTATAGCCAAAACTTACCAATATATTGAAAAGACAAATATGACAAGAATATTTGCTGATTTAGGCATAATAAAACTGTAAAATGAGAGGCAACATACAGGAACAGGGCCAGACCAATATTTAATAAATAGAATGGTAAATTTCCCATTCATGACTCATATATAATATAATATACCTCAACTTCTACTTTTGACATTTGTTATACATTTTTTCAACTTTGTTAAAGCAATTTTGGACGTTTGTCCTTTTGCATTTATAAAATGCAAGCTAACAAAAAGCTAAATTGTCATTAGACGATGGGTTCCGAGATTGCATTTTGTCCAATGTGTTCCACCTCTTGTTCTCCATCTGCAGGTAACCAAAGCCCTGGCTCATCTCGAACGAGCCTGATCTCATCATCAACTTATTGCAATACGTTTCGTTTTGTACAAGATTTTCCTCACCAAAGACCATGCTTAAAATCAAGACAGAAGTTCCAATATTTCCTCACACGTGACCACTGAAGTTCCACAATTAGATCATGTGATGTTACCTGATTCAGCTACTGTATATTCACTGATGAAGACCGTGAGATGTGATTGAAAGCTCCAAAAAATTT